AACTCATGTTCACACAAAAACCTGCACAAGAATGTTTATAGCAGTTGTATTTATAATTGCTGAAAACTGGAAGCAAGATGTTCCTCAAAAGCTAAATGGAAAGATAAACTCTGGTATATCCATACAATGAAATATTATTCAGCAATAAAACAAAATTTGCTATCAAGCCACAAAAAGATATGGAGGATAAATAAACTGTGTTATATTCAATAAGGGAAATTATTCAGCGATAAAGCAAAATGACCTATCAAGCCATGAAAAGTCGTGGAGGAATCTTAAATGAATATAGCTAAGTGTGAAGAAGCCAGTCTGAAAAGACTATATACTGTATGATTCCAACTATCTGACATTCTGGAAAAGGCAAAACTATGGAGACAGTAAAAAGATCATGTTGCCAGGAATTTGGAGGGATTTGAACAGATAAAGCACAGGGGATTTTTAAGACAGTGAAACTTTTCTGTATGATACTGTAATGGTGCATACATGACATTATGCAATTGTCAAAATCCATTAAACGGTACAGAACAAAGAGTGAACCTTAACATAAACCACGGACTTCAGTTAATAATAATTTATCAATATTGATTCATCGATTTTAACAAATGAGCGACACTAATGGAAGATGTTAATAATAAGGTCAAGTGTGTGGGGCGGGAGTAATATGGGAACTCTCTGTACTATCTGCTCAATTTTTTCTGTAAATCTAAAATTGTTCTATAAATAAATTTTATTAATTTTTTTAAGTCAGTCCAAGAATCCTCCTTTAAATGAATATGAATCCAATCTGGCATTTTTCTAAGTGAAAATTCTCTAAGTTTGCTGTATTTAAGTTTCACTTCTCTGCAAGATTTCTTTGGTTTCATATTTCCTAGGTCATTTTTGTCAGAATTGAGGGGTGGGGTAGTGAGAATTCAGACATATGTCCTTAAGCTGCCATCTGTTCTCCAAATGGCATCCCGTATGTTGTTGATGTGTAGAATTTTCATTGTTGACATTTATGAATTGACTATAATTGTACTTTGATTTCCTTCTTGACTCAAGTTAATTAGAAGGGTGTTTAAATTTCCAAGCCGTACTTAAAAAAAAAAAATGATACTAATTTCAGCTTTTATTGCTTGCTTTAAACATGTGAATTGCATAAGTTCCACTTTTTGGAATCTATTGAGGGTTTTTTTTCCTTGGTAGTTCAATATATGACCAATTTTTGAAATGTCATCTAGATATTTTCAATAATGTGTATTATTCTTAAAGTTTAATTTTTTCTATCTAGGTATTATTGTACTTTTTTCCTCTGTAAAACTTTGAACATTTTAGTTATATATATTTAGTGTTATGTTAATTGTTATGTATAAGAATATTCTACGGCCATTTGTATTGTATCTTTTATCAATATAATTACTTTATCCCAAGTACTGCTATTTGCTTTGAATTTAAGTTGTCTAATAGCAGTATTGTAATGAATGCTGTCTTCTAGTTTTTAGTTGCTTGATACACCTTTCACCATCACTATATATTTAAACTTTGATAACCATTTGGTTTTAGAGGTTTCGTTTCTAAACAGTGTACAGTTGGATTTGGGGAGGGGTTTTGTAAATCGTGTTTGTTTTAGTGAAGGAGCTTAAGCCATTTATATTTATTGTGACAAATATTGTTTGGTGTTATTTCAGTCACTTTATTTTAATCTTTATGTGTTAAATTATTTTCCTATTTCTTTTTTCTTTTTTATTTGGTTATTAATTATGGTAGGCTGAAAAATGGCCCCAAAAGATATCCAAATCCTAATCCCTGAAACCTATGTATGTTATCTTATATGGCAAAAAAGGATTTTGCAGGTGTGATTAAGTTAAGGATTCTGAAATAAGGAGATTATTCTGGATTATCCGGGTGGGTCCAAATGCAATCATACATATCCTTCCTTATAAGAGGGAGCCAGAGGGAGATTTGACACACAGAAGAGGAGAAGGCATTATAACCATGGACTTGGAGGTGGGATTGAGGCGGCCACAAGTCAAGGAACATGGGCAGCCACCTGAAGCTGGAAGAGCAAGAGATAGAGTCTCCCCTGGAGCCTCTGGAAGGAGGGTGGCCCTGCCAACACCTTAATTTTGACTCAGTATAATTGATTTCAGACTTCTGGTCTCCAGAACTGTGAGAGAATAAGTTTGTTATTTTAAACCACAAACATTTCTGGTTTAAATTACCACAATGTGTAATTTTGCGTTTTAGATTCATCCATGACTTTTCATGGCTTGATAGCTCTTTTTGTTTTATTGCTGAATAATATTCCATTATTGAATGTAACAGTTTCTTTATCCTCCACGACATTAAAAGACCACAATGTGTCTTGCGGTAATTTGTTACAGTTGCCATGGGAAACTAATACCTTCTTTTTTCTCCCTTTTTATTTCACTCTTTCGGAGCTTACCTTTAATTTTTAAATTTAATATTTCTATCAAAGTACAAAACAACAGGGGTCGGCCCAGTGGCGCAAGTGGTTAAGTGCGCGCACTCCGTTGCGGCGGCCGAGGTTTGCCAGTTCAGATCCCAGGCGCGCACCCACGCACCACTTGTCAGGCTATGCTTCGGCAGCATCCCGTATAACGTGGAGGAAGATAGGCATGGATGTTAGCCCAGGGCCAGTCTTACTCAGCAAAAAAAAAAAAAAAAAAAAAAAGAGGAGGATTGGCAGATGTTAGCTCAGGGCCGATCCTCCTCACAAAAAAAGAAAAAAACAAATTGTCTAAAATGTCTAAATGGAAATTTAACATGATTTCCTTCTTTTTACTCTCTCACCTCACTCAACTCCCCAGATTTTTTCCCTGAAATGTTTCTTAACTATATTCATAGTTATTTTGTAAACATTTTGTGTTATTCTGACTTATTGGTTACCATAGCTGTTACCAATCTATCCCCTTCCCCTCTTCTTGAGTTCCTAATTCTCAATTGATTGACTTAGGATTGAAACAATTCTCAATCCACAGAAATATTTCCTCAAGGAAGATTTTTTTCAGGAAGAGTATGTGATGATATGTTTTCTTCCTTCTTATATATCTAAGAAAATTATTCTGTACCTTGGCACAGAAATGATATTTACAAAATTCTTGGATCGTAATTTTCTTTTCAAAACTCTGAACATGTGGGGCCTGCCCGGTGGCACACTGGTTAAGTGCGCGTGTTCCCCTTCTGCCGGGGGTTCTCAGGTTTGGATCCCTGGAGGGCACCGCCTCACTGCTTGGCAAGCCATGCTGTGGCGGCATCCCATATAAAGTAGAGAAAGATAGGCACGGATGTTAGTCCAGGGGCAATCTTCCTCGGCAAAAAGAGGAGGATTGGCATCGAATGTTAGCTTAGGGCCGATCTCCTTCACACACAAAAAAAAAACCTCTGAATATGTTTTTATACTGTTTTCTAGCATTTATTTTTGTGAAAAAGAGGCGTGACAATTTGAGGCGCGTTTCTTTCAGGTAACCTTTACTGTATTTTTTTTTACCCTGCCTAGATGTTTGAAGACCCCTGAAATTAAATACTCCTGTTGACTGTGTCTCAAAGTAGAGCTTTTTATTAATGTTGCCTGCTCCTCTGGGCACAGTTCCTTGTGCCTTTCCTCCTGCTCCAGATTCTGAACTTGTGTCAGCCGCAGGTGGCCGAGATTCGGATGAGCTTCTCGCAGAGACATTGCACCTCATAGGGTCCTGTCCCTTGAAGCTCCCATCCTTCTCTGATGCCATCTCTTCAACTGTGTGTGGCCAACCTTATCAATTCTGAATTCATGGATCACACATAGAAATCCCAGTTTTCTCTAGACGGTTGTCTGATTTTTTGTTGTTGTTGTTAATTTGGCCATCATTTTTTTTTCTGTCTATATATCACCTTTTTAGCAGGAGGAGAATTTCTTCTTATATCCCTCAGAGGAGCCTTCAATCTCTAATCAGTCCTTAGAACCCCCTCCCTGAGACACCTTCCACAACATTAGTGCTGGGATGCATTTGTGGTAGTGTTACAGATATAAAAATAATAAAGAACAACAATGCAGTTGATTGCTATTTGTCTGAGCCAGGGAAAGAACAAAAAGGTACAAATTCAGGACAAAATTATTGTCAAAGGGATGTTTTTTCTATTTTGCTTTAGAATAAATTCAGATACTTCCCCTTAGACTTCAGTCTTCAAGTTACTCTTCTACCCGCTCTGGATTTGACACAAAAGTTATGAAGCAATGATATAGCTGGACTCTTGGTAGAAATGAGGCTCAAAGTTAAATTTGCCACCTGACCATCCTTCCAGAGGTATTTCATTTAGTTACATTTTGAGTGTGCTCTTCATATACAATATATTAACCTATTATAGCCCAGTTTCCTTCTCTGCAAAGTATGCAAACACGCTGTAATTAACACAAGACAATTTAAGGGCATGGGTCAGGTTAATAAAAGAGAAGTTGCGAATGAGGAAGAGGAGACCCGAGAACTGACTAGTGACTAGCTCTGCTAGAGAAGTACACCAAGAAGGAGGGCTCTGAGGGGGCCAGCGTAGATGATGATAAGTGTTTCAACACAGCACATGGGCTCCCTGAAACCAGATCCTTTCCATCTCTCAACAACTCACAGTAATAAAAGGCAAATGAACTTTTGTTTCTAATTATTCTGGAATGTTAATTGTGGCAGAGAAAATTAATTTAGCTTTAAAAGTCAATTACAAACAAATGTACCATGCAAATGTCAAGAGGGCCTGATCCTGAAATATGGAGTCTTCCAGAAGCCAAACAAATGAATGAGCAAGTGAGAGCTGGAAGCCTTCTCACCTGTCACCGCTAGTGGCGCAAATTCCAACACCAAGAACCTCAATCTGCTTCCTGACACAGAGAGTCGGTCATTCCCCTCCCTAACACAAACCTCACCCCTCCCTTGGTTCAGTGCTCAGGTCTCTAAACAGCACAAAATGCTCTTCTTTCTTGATATGCATTCCCTCACCTCTATAAACTCCCCTCCTCTCATTTCTGCCTTCAGGTTGTGCTGCTCTATGCCTCTACCTATGTCCTGGTGTCCCTCAGCATAGACAGATACCATTCCATCGTCTACCCCATGAAGTTCCTGCAGGGAGGTGAGCTGGCTTCACCAGGTGCTATTCTGTGAGGAATCATCCTTGGGGGAGGGTGGGATTGTTTTCACTAGTGTTCTCTTACCAGTGCTTCTCTTCCTCCCCCTTCCTTCTCCTCCTCCACCTCCTTCCCCACCTCATGGATCTGATTGTCCACAAAGGTATAGAAAGGAAAGTTTGGATGCCCAGGAAAATGCTGATGGTTCCCATGGATGGTCAAGAACTACCAGGGAAGGTGGTTTGCTGGTCATTCACCTGGACACTGATGCCTCCAGCTTTTTCCTTTAGAGCAGTGTTGACACGCATACCTGTCCAAAAAGTGAACACTCCCACTTCAACTTGTTCATCCTCCAGAAACAAGAACATTGCCCTCCTTACCCCCAAGCCATAGAAATAATTGGAAAGATGTTTTTAATTGATAATCATACTGGAAATGAGGAAAATCCTTCTTGATCCAGAGATAGTGAGGAATTCCTGAAAGAAGGAAGCAGATGGGTCAGAGGGAAGGCTGAAATCACATAGCCCACAATACCCACAGATGATGCTGCAGCAATGCAGGAGGAGTGTTGGGAGCACTTCCTCAAGGGATCAGGTGAGTGCCCAGAGCAAGAAGGACTCAAGGAAACTGGCAGGGTGATTCCTGGAACACAACGAGGATGGTTAATCACAGCATTTCCCCTTTCCTGCCATCCTCCCCCTTCCCAGACGGACAGCTGGGATGGAGGTCTCTGCTTCCAAGTAGTGGGGATGCTGGATTTGAAGACAGAATGGGCCTGAGAAACAATGATGCCCTGGAGGGATTGTGGGTACCTAGTCACAGGACTAATTGTCCATTACTCTGTCCGCAAGCAGAGCCCACTCTCCTCCATAACCACGTAAGAACCCAACGTTTAGGGACCTGTACTACACTCTCCCAAGCAGGCTGTGAAAACTGATAAAATGAAGAACCTAGTATGAAATCTTGATTGCGAAGATGAAGTGCAATCAAATACAAAAAATGTGACAAAGCCAAACTGTGGAAAATAGATAATACCATTTAAAACACGATTCTGCAGAATTTACACCTAAGGAAGCAAAATTAATAGAGCAAGAAGAACTTTAGAATTAAGTAGAATTAATGTCATCAGCTGCTATTAAATACACGAGATAGTATTGACACAGATAATTTGAATGGCAAGTTGACAATATCTAATTAAAATATAAAATGTGCTGCTTTTGACATAGAAATTCTACTTCTTGACGTCTTCTCTGAAGAAACACCCACATATGTGCATGTATACACATATGTGGTGTATTATAGCATTACTTAGAATAGCAGGAATTCAGTGCTAACCTTGATGTCCCTCAGTGGGGGAATGGCTAACTATCCTACATAGGTTACAGTTGCTTAGGTTTATTGATTGCGTATTGTGTGCCATTCATAATTCTAACATCTTTACATATGTTAAATACTGTAATCCTCACAACAGCTCTGTGAGGTAGGTTCTATTATTATCTGCATCTTACAGTCTGAGCAATTACAATTCAGAGAGCTAAAGTAACTTGTCCAAGGTCACACAGCTAGTAGGTGCAAGGGGCAGGATTTGAACCCAGATGTTCTGGGTCTAGCTTGGGTGCCCTTGACTACTGCATATCCTCCTTCTCAATGAGGAGCTGGTAGAACCATGGGAAGTAATGTACATTGACATGAAAATATCTACATCACATTTTGAGTGATAAAAACAACATATACAATAATCCATGCAGTATAATAACATTAATGTAAAGAAAACCCAAAACCATGCTAGATACTGTGTACAAGGAGAGAAAGAGAAAAACAGAAGGAGAGGATGCAAGAAAAAGGGAGGTCCCAGAATAATAAGCAATTGCCTGTAAGGACACACACCAACTTGTCCTCACTGCTAGGGATAGGAGTTGGACTAGCGGTGGTGACCACAGGGACTTACTTGCAAGAAGGCAATTTTCATGCCAGAAACATATCGATGTGTTGTGTGTGATTAAAAGTAATTGAAAAATAGAGTTTACAACACTGTCTTAGGCTTTTCCTAGGTTTTTTATGTGTGTATGGAAGGTGTGTGACCAGAACAAAGCCTCCTGGGTACTATCATGCCCTAGTGATTATGGTTGGGAAGAAGGCAGAGAGCAAGATGAGGGGAAACAGGAGACACATTTTATGATATATGTATGCAAAGGTGTGATACATTTTTCCATCCTTCTATTTATTTACGCCCACCAGGCTCCAGGAAGGGTTGAATGTAGTGTACAAAAAGACAGCTACATCGGAGTATTTCAAGGGGAAGAAATAGGAGTGAAGGGAAAATAGGCATAAGAAAGCATGTGAAGGGGCCAGCCAGGTGGCGTAGTGGTTAAGTGCACGCACTCCACTTCGGTGGCCTGGGATTCACAGGTTCGGATCCTAGGCGCAGACAGATGCACCACTTGTCAGGCCATGCAGTGGCGGTGTCCCATGTAAAGTAGAGGAAGATGGGCACGGATGTTAGTCCAGGCCCAATCTTCCTCAGCAAAAAGAGGAAGATTGGCATCAGATGTTAGCTCAGGGCTGATCTTCCTCACAAAAAAAAAAAAGAAAGAAAACATGTGAAGAGTGTCCCAGGACACTTGCTGGAGGTAGAGGCTTTGGGATCTGTAGCCAAGAGGGAAACATGGTCAGTTATATGTCTCTTCATATTCGTTAGGTAAAAAAAATCAACTGTTTGGCTCATGGGCAATATGACTAGTTCTGGGAGACACTGTGCAATATTACGAACAAAAAAGGCAGCAATGAATATTATAGTGCTCATTTAAAGATGTAAAGCAATTTATTTCATCACCACAAAATTAATAGAGGCTCAATGCGGGGCACTTGGAAAATAATCATCTCCAGTAGCTTCTGGGAAATGAAAGCTTGGAAACAGACATTAGCCATTTTTCCTTCCTCTGTCCAATCCCAGCTGAAGTTATAGAAGAAAAATACAAATAGAGGGAGACCTATAGCTGGGTTGGGAGCCAAGGAAAGAAGCCATCCAAATACCAGAAACCTCAAGGAATTCCCAGCACACAGGAAGCAGATTTAACATGAATGCCAAGCCCCCTCGGAAAGCTGTGTGGCTTGTAGGAAGCTGCAAAGGTTATAGGCACAGTTATAGGGTGAGGTAGTTGGTGAGAACAGGGCATGAGAGGATCCAGGGAACCCTACACTAGAGTCATCTTGGTGCTGCAGCTCATGGGAATTTAAGGGCAGCTGTAAGGGGCAGGGTTAAGGGTTTATGAGACTGAGCTAAGGGAACTAGGGAGAAGGAGATTTCTCACGGGGCCGCAGAGCTCTCCCGGGTAGAATGGAGCAGGAGGAAGCCGGGCGAGAGTCCCACGCGGTTGAGCGGGCACAAGGCAATGACAACTAAACCAGAGGAAGGAGAGGAGATGGGGAGGCCACATTGTACTGCTCTTTACTGAAGTGGTAGTTTCCTTAGCCGGCAACTCCAGAGTAGCTGACAAGTTTCAGGCTCTTCAGGAAAAAATAAATGTGAGAATAATTAGGAAAACATCAATTAATCATGAAGAGAGATCTGCAGTGCCAGATATTAAAATATAAAACTTTGATAATTAGAACAATATAATACTGGAACCAGAGTAACCTATGTAAAGTATATGGAATATCAAATCGGTTAGAAAAGAATGAATTAGTCAGTACATGGTGTTAGAATAGCTGTCTAGCCATTTAAAAAAATATTAGATCACCCCTTGTCGCAGGTAATTACAGAGTAAATTCCAGTTGGGTTGAAGATGTAAAAATTTTAAACACGGACGGGTATGCATATGGATAAAACTTTTATAATTTTGGTGAGGGAAAGATCTGTCTAGGAATAACACCAAAAGCAGAAACAATAAGGGAAATAGACTTTTTACTACATAAACATTTCAAAATTCTTTATGCAAATAATAAACATTGTAAATATACTTAAAAAGCAAAACGACAAATAGAAAATATTTGTATGTAACAGACAAAGGGCAAATATCCTTATAAAGAACTCGGGCCAAGAAATAAGGATGTACCAATTGAAAAAGTGGGCGAAGGACATGAACAAATTGTTAAGAAACAAAAAAATTCAAAAGAGTGGACAATATATAGAAACGCTCTTCCTGACTACTAACTTAGGAATTGCAAGATTAAACATTCGGATAAGGAACCTTACCAACCAGATAGCAAGATTAAGAGGAAGAGTCCTCTCAGGGTTGAGATAATATAAGTAAATGGGAACTTCCGTACACTTCTTATAGAAGCCTAAAAATTGTGGATACTTTTGGGGCAAATTTAACAATATTTACCAAAATCTTCTGTTTCTAAGAGTGCATCCTGAGAGAATAAGCAGTGCAAAGAAATATATATGAATTATTTATAATAAAAAATAATTGGAAACAATTTAAATACTTAGTAACAGGCTATTGATAAAATTGGAGTTTGGTGTAACCATGGAAAAAATATTCTTTTATCAATGCCTTTCAAATTGCACTTCACACACTGACCCCCGAGGGCTCATTTTGTGGAACTGCTCTAGGGCAGGTCTGGAAGGTTCTACCTATCATCCAGCTTCAACCTCAGCTACCAGGGCTTCCTGTACTGGGCTCAAGATAAAATTATATTCGAAGAAAGGCTTTTACTGCCTGAAAAAGTCTGAATGCCACTTGAATAGACGTAGATTTCTTGACTTGGAAAGATGGTCATAATATTTTTGCAGAGAAAATAATTAGGTTAAAAGTAGCGTGTATATTGTTATCTCATCTTTATATATGTAATCTATACGTTATATATGAATGCATTATCAAAATTTAAACTATTTCTGGGTGGTGCCACTATGGTACAACAGAAGGATGCCAGACCGACCAAGGCTGCTTCCCTGCCTTTGAGGATCAACAGAGTAACCAGAGACACATATTTGCACAGCAACCTATCAGATGTATATAGAACAAGCTGAGGTCCCTGATACTACAGGAATGGATGCCTCAACATTTCAAGTCAGAAGAAGGGAAGTAGAAGTTGGGGGGCATGGACTTTATGCCAGGCAGGGTACCAGCTTCTGTGCAAGCATTCTCTCCAGTCCTTGCATCAGCCTAGATGCAGGTCCTATTATCCCGTTTACACATGAGGAAACAGGCTCTGAGAGGTCCAGAGTTCCTCTCTCATGGTGATCCTTTTCTACACTAGACTCCAAGTGTGCTCCCAAAGGATGTTTCCAGATGCCCAGGCATCCCTGTCTTTTCTTTGAGCAGAAAGGCAAGCCAAGGTCCTCATCGTGATTGCCTGGGGCCTCTCTTTCCTGTTCTCCATTCCCACCCTGATCATATTTGGGAAAAGGAAACTCCCCAACGGCGAAATGCAGTGCTGGGCCCTGTGGCCTGACGACTCCTACTGGACCCCGTACATGACCATCGTGGCCTTCCTGGTGTACTTCATCCCTCTGACGATCATCAGGTAAGAGGCCAGCAGGCCAGACCCACACACGGGCTTTCCTGGGTTGCCAACTGCTGCTCTCCTCCCCTACAGGTCACTCATTGTTTCTAGTGTCGTTGGGGGAACTGACCAGGCCACAAGATTTTATCTAAAGCCACTGTATGCTAAATCCAACTCCTCCAAAGTGGAGGAATCAGGAGGAAACTAACATTTTCTGAGTATGTACTATGAAGCAGGCATTGTACTAAATGGCTAACAGTTATCCCATTAACCACACTACAATTAGATGAAATATACTATTGTCCCCATTTTAGGAATGATAAAACTCAAGTTCAGAGAAGTTAAGTAACTTACCCAACATCACACAGTATTTAAACGTTGATTTGTCTCATTTCATACACTGTTCTTTCTCCTGTATTATGCAGCCTTTTCAAATATAAGACCCAGTACCAGTTTCAGAAATCTTATAGTATAATTGAAAAAATAGACGTACTTGAAACAAAACTAAACAAAATATGCAGTACATGCGAAAAATATGCTAGAGAGTGTGCACGGTGAGGTCAGGTAATGGCAGGGAACACTTCTCGGAGGCCACCATTGAAGGACGGAAGGATTCAGATAGAAGAAGGGGAATGTGGAGACAAAGCAGGTTTCCTGGTGACCGGAGGTCAGAGTGAGTGTGGCGACAGGGAAGGACAGGCTGGCAGTGCCAGTGGGGAAGTTGGCAATAAGCTCTTTCTGGGTGGGGTGAGGCTTAGTTGTGAAGGGCGTTAGCAACCAAGCCATAGGATGTTCTTTCTGTCCTGCAGCCAACGGTGGGCCAAAGATGGTCTTTCTGCAGAGAAGACCACAACCACCTGGACAAGGAAGGGTCTCACTTGGTCGCATGGCAGGATCACCTCTGAAAGGGTGGCTTTCAGCCAGGGTGGATGGGCTGGGGGATTGCAGGAGACAATCTGGCATGTTGAGTGTGTACGTGGGCCGTGCTGACCTGGCACTTTTTCGGCATCCCCAAGCCTACCATGATGTGTCACATAATTTGTCGTGGGTGAAGGAAGATCAGCCTTTGGTATTTGATGGTATAAATGATGTTGTGATAAAAATCTTTGTACTTAAAATTATTCATGGGTCTCTGATTATTTCCTCAGAATTCACTCTAGTAGAATTGCTAGATCAAAGACAATGTTTAAGACTTTTGATGCATATTTATAAACTGCCCTCTAGAAAATGTGTATTCCTGCCAACAAGCGCAAACAAGAACTCTGATTTTTCCTTTGCTGACCCAATGGAAGGTGATACCATTTCTTTATTAAATCTTTGCCAAACCTAGAAGTTAAAAATGTATCTCATTTTTTCAATCTGCCTTTCTTTGATTATTAAGTGCTTAGGTATTTTTCAAGTGTTCTCTGACGTTGTGGGAATTATTTGTTCTTGTTCATTGCTCATCTTTATTCTCATAAGATACTAAAGCTGGAGAAATGCTATCCACCACATAGTCCAGCCCCTGAATTTTTCACAAGAGTAGATATAAGGCTAAAAAAAGCCACGTGACTTGCTCTCCATCAGAAGTCAAGTGGACAGGAGCAGAGCGATCCCCATAACCGGCCCAGCAGCCTTGCTGAGACTGGAGGTGTCCAGTCATCTCTGTGAATCCACAAATTAGCATCTACGTTTTATTTTAACGTACTGCCCTCTTCCCCACCAAGTTGAACTTGGGAGGAAACTTGAAGGAAAGATGAAGGTTATTTAGACAACAAATTAAAAAAAAGTCATAGCAGTGTTAGAGGGGCACAGGGAAGAGGAGAGCAGCTAGTCACAGCGGTCAGAAAGCATTTGGAAGGAAGCAGCTCAGGCAACTGACGCATGGATTTCAGTGGCAGCGCGTGTCCTTGCTTCTCTGCTGGTTGAGTTCCCATCAACTCACGAAATCAGTCAAGACTCCTGCTCAGCAGGGCGGATACAGTGCGTGAACCACACGGCTCATGATGTGCTGCCTGGCCAGATCCATCATGTGGCTCTTTTACTGTCCGAAATTTCCCCCGTTAATTCGAGCTGCTTCTTCCCACGAGGTATTCTCCTCAGACTTGCCTACAGCCCAACTTGTGCATTATTTAGTGTACTTGGAAAAAGCAAAGTATAATTTGATGATTAAAAGGCATGATTTCAAAAGCCAGTTTCACTCAGCGCTCATCAAACTAAGGCCTCCTTAACTCCTGCTCCTTGCTCCTTGCTTCCAGCCATGGCAGAGCTATGGAAATTCAGAATGACCTCCCTCAGTCCTTGAGCATCTCTGAAGCGTGTCCTACCTGCTCAGTCATTACCTTTACTCTTCCGTAGTCAGGCTCCTGCTGAAGAAAGAGCTTCTCTCTGGGGGCCACGGCATCCTCTACCTCTATCAGCTCCTCCTCCCTTCTTGAACCAAGACCAGGACCAGGTAGAATTTTGTGAGGAACTTGTTTTCCGGCTAGTTCCTGGGATAAGTAGCTACAATTTCATCTCTCAGAGCTAAGGTTTAACTCCTTTTTTTTTCTTTCTTTCTTTCTTTTTTAACCACACTTTGCCCTCTGAGCTTGATTCTGTTGCTTGTGGCTCTTTTAGAAAATGTTAAACTCTTAATTACAAGCGTAACTAGACAAAAGAAACAGCTGGAATAAGGTGTTCACTCACTTTATTAACTGTACCTCATCTTCACTGTTCCTAATGCATGCTATATATATGTATATATCTTTACCAAATTGATCGGCAATGTATAAAATAGGAGTTGTGTTGTCTGTGGCACACTCTCCTGAGAGCTGCATATGAATAAAGATTTAGCTGTTCTGTCATCAACTAAATCAGGCTCCCAGGACTTGAAACCATAGTGACTGATAATAAAGGCAATACATTATTTTTCCAGGTCAACACAACTGCCGTTGTTTCCAAATTCACTTGACATTACTGTCTAACTCTTGCTGGGGAGGTTATTAGCCCTGGTGTAATTGCTTTACCTTAGCTGCGGTTATTTTCTTGCTATCTAATTGATTTCTCATTCTCCTATCATTTTTATCTGTGTGAGATAAAGGTAGAGGCATAAGAGATCCGTGGCCGACAATTGCAAAGGAATAAGTGGAAAAAAGCACATTCGCCATAGACCATTGATTTGTGTTATAAAAAATACGGATTTATTTTGCTTGGGGAATGGGGATCAGACTGGAAAAGCCCCATGCTGAGGTTGGTACAGCCTTATGGAGTGCAAGGCCGTGGTGGGTCAGAGGACCCCAAGGCCTGGCCAGCACTGTCCATGGGCACGACGTCCAAGGCCAAGGAGATGACCCCTCACGTCTGAAGGAAGTGACATCCTATATATTGTTACCTGAGGGGTGGCAATAGTTATGTCTTTTGAAAAAGCAATTCTTACTAGTTCGCTAGGTTATGGTAGATGTTTGTGATTAAATTTCCAATATCCATTCCACTCTAAGCTACTCATGGCAACCCCTACCCTCAGCATGTGAATGGCTCAGGAATGGCCCCGTGATCCAATTCTAACCAATGAGATGTGAGGGAGTGTCTTCTGAAGAGCTTTTGGAAAAGATGTCCCCATTCTTAGAAAAAAAGTCCAGGGAAGGATGCCTTCTCATCTTCTTCTAGACATTGCTCTCTCTGGATTGACAACTGGAACTGATGCAGCCTGACTGAGGAGGACACCTACACTGAAAAGAAAAGAGAAAGGGATGGAAGGAACCCAGGTTTCTGAGGTTCACCTTTGACACTTTGAAGTTGCAATTATGGAAGATGAGGAATATTCTAATTGCAGTTTGAGTTGGGAGTTTTCTGTAGCTTGCTACAAAAAGCATCCTGACTGATACCCAACTGTCCATACTTGCTGGTTCTAGACATCAGTGAATTTATCTGAACTACTGAAGTCATCAGAGTGAACTCTGACCTTTAGGAAATCTCAGTTAATTCAGTGGTACCAAATGAGTTACTAAGGGTGTCCCTTTGACTTTCTCTGTCCTGGGAGCCCGTTGAACCTGATACCAATGGACAGTATATATCAGGACTTTTAAGTTTTTCTTAGTTTCTTAAGTATCAATCTACTCCTACATTTTCCCCCAAAAGTTGGTTTTGCCTTCGCATTTCCCTGAGCCCAACACACAGATATGCTTGTGAGTCCCTGTAGCCCAAATACATTCCCCAAAGGAACCTGTATACCCTCCCTGCTGTGAGACAGCATCATATGCTGGTTAATTAGCCTTTGAAGTCAGAAGCACCAGGCTATGGCACATCTCTGCCATTCTCCAGCTATCTAAACTCAGGCAAGTCACTGAATCTCTCAAAATTGAAGTCTTCTCTTCTAGAAAATGGAAGTAATACTAGCATCAACCCTATAAAGTTGTTGGAGACATTAAATGAGATAATTTCCATTAAGGGCTTGGCATAATTTTTGGTTGACCATTATAGTCAGCAAATCACTACCATTGTCATCATCAACATCACATCAGAGCTTTGGTGGCCAACAGATCTCAATTTGAATCTGGTCTCTGACACTTTCTAGTCGTGTACCTCAGCCTTGTTATCCATAAAATGGGGCCAATAAACTCTTCTTCCCAGGGTCGATATAAGAAATCATAAAATAAGACCTTGTATGAAACAAAACCCACAATCAATACGTATTAAGCATTTACCATGCAGTGCCCAGCACAGTGTTAACTAATTAAATTAATGAGACAAGAACGTAAGTACGTTATAGAGGGACTGGCACACAGCAGGGCTCCACACTGACTGCTTCCCTCCTGACTGTCCCCTCCATGGGTACTGGGGCGAGAAGTGGGGCACATGACTCTTGCTCCCATTTCAGGATTCCTAAACCAAATGGCTTGGATTGCTTCTGGAGCATATTCTCTCTTCTCCATCATCAGGCCACTCTACTGTAGTCATTTCACAAAGAGATGGAATAAAATTCAAGGACGATTGAGTCGGTATACATTCCCATGATTATCACCATCTTTCACTCAGTCTAATTAAATAGATTAAATAAATCTACTCTTTACCCCTTTTAAATCCCTGCTCCACACCACAGCCAGGACCATCATTGTTGTCTGGAAAATTGCTATGCATACAGAACAGTATGAAATGAAAAATAAGAATCTTCCTCCCACTTTCCCCCTTGGCTCACTCCTCAGAAGTAGCACTGTTAAGAATTTCTTGTATATCATTCCAGGACTGTTCAATTCATATACGAGCATATACATATGCATAGAAACAGATTACACATATTGAACAATGTCTGATCTTTGAAAAAAAAGTTGGTCAATCATTTCACTTTTCTGCTTGGAGCCCTTCAGTGGATCTTCATTGTTTCAGGATCAAGTCCAAAACCTCTAACCCTGCACACAAGGCCATGCATGATCTGGTTGTTGCCTCACTCCCCATCCTCGTCTTCGGCCACACAAACTGCCTCTGCACATGTTTCAGCCATACTGGCTTTCTCTAAGTTCTTTAAATGCACCATGCTCCCTCCGGCCTCTGAGCCTTTGTACATGCTGTTCCCTCTGCCTGAATGACCGTTCCCCTCTGCATTTAAAAAACCATTTTATCCTTCAGATCTTAGCTGAAACTTCACCTCCTCTGGGAAGGCTTCCCTGACCCCCAGGAAAAGTCAGGGCCCCTATTATATACTGTTATATCACCCTATATTTTATCTTCACAGCATTTTACTCCATTGTAATCACATGTAATTTGTGTAATATATACGATAATTAATATATGATTAGAGGCAAGATGATGATGATCAAGGTGAAGAAGGCAGAGGAAGATTGTGGGAGGCTTTGGAGGATTAAGAGACTGGATATCATGTTATATGAAAGTGAAGACAATGGAGGGGTTTTAAGCCAGGGACTGGCTCTCTGTCCCGAGCTCCAGTTCTGATGGCGGCGTGGGCATTCAAGATGGTAGCAGAGTGGAGGTGTTAGAAGATTATGCAACAATCAGGCAAGAGATTATAAGGGATGCTCACTTCATCAGCACATATATTAAAATTAGAACAACACAGAGAAGATTAGTATGGCCCCTGTGTAAGGATGACACATAAATTCATGAAGCTTTCCATATTTTTGTGTGTAACAGGTACAGAGTTTCAGTTGGGGAAGATGAAAAAGTTCTGGAGATGGATGGTGGTGATAGTTGTGCAACGTTATGAATGTACTTGATGCCACTGAACTGTACACTTAAAAATGATTTAAATGCTAAATTTTGTTATGTTTATGTCACCACAATAAAAAAAAATCATAAAATATAAAACAGAGATTGTAAGGGTCTGAACTGATGCTGAAGAGCAGGAATGGAGTGGACAACACAGATTATGGAGACATTTTGAAAGGACAATCCACAGAACTTACTGATTAATTAGATGAAAGAGATGAGGAAGAAGAAGGAGAACAAAATAATTCAGAAGTCTCTGTGATGCACGACTAGTACACTCTGAGAAGTGGCCTGATTTGGGGAAAAAATGAAAGGGGAACCCTGCTTATTAGCAGTTTTCCTGGCTAACAGTAAAGCTGGTACTGGCTTTCCACTTGCCTGATGGTCCTAAGGAGATGAGGTGGGGGCGACATAGGCCCAAGCCCCTAACACATTAGACTTTTCTTAGTTTTCCATTGTGTACATTGTTGATAGTCAATAAATATTTGAATTCTTGATCAATTAAGCACTGGGGTTTCAACTGTAATACACAATTGATGTTTCAAGGTTGCTGTAACCTTTCCTTGTATCTCATTTCCCTGGGGAAAAAGTTTCCTGCCCTAACAAATGCTTAACTTAGGGTAAAGAATAGACTTAGTGGTAATGTTTTTCTCATTTTTCCTTTAATGTAGACATACAAATTCCAGAAAAGTCCCTAGGCAGGTATATGAGAAGGAGCAAGGATACCACACAAAGGCCCCAAGCTTTCCTGGAGCCCTCAGAGCGGTTCACTGAGCAAGAAAGGGAAAAGGAATAGGAGCAGAGGGTTTTACCACAGTCATTAATTAAGTTATATTCCAAACATCATTAAAAGTAATTAGTGCTTTGTCAGCTACTGCAGAATAGAGCTCTGGTTTTTTTAAAACCAGTGACTCTCAAAAGGGAAGTTTGTGCTGTTTTAAAATAAAGCAGTGCTTTATCCCATAGTTTTTAGTCGAGTTACTTAATATATTTGAAATGTCCAATAACATTAAAGAAGGGTATAAACTTTTATGTTTATCAAAGGGGACATAGGATACAAAATTTGCTAATGCTTTCAAATCATTAACATGCCGTTTTCCTGTTAGGCACAGATTATATCATGCAAGAGTAGGTGTGATATTATGTGAAAAATGGGGAAGAAAGAGGGTAAAGAAAATGACATTTATTGAGTCTCTGCTAATTTTCAAGCACTGTGCTTGGCACTTTAAACGTTGTCACATTTCATCCCTAAAAATCTCTTGAGAGGTTTGTATGATTAACTACATTTTACAGTCTCAACTGAGGCCCAGCATCTTAGTCCATTCAGGCTGCCATAACAAAATACTACAGAATAAGTGGCTTGTAAACAACACAAATTTATTTCTCACAGTTCTGGAGGCCGGAAGTCTGAGATCAGTGTGCCAGCATGGTTGGATGAGGACCCTCTTTGAGGTTGCAGACTTCTGGTTGAATCCTCACAGGGTGGCGGGGGCTAGGGAACTCTGCAGGGTCTCTTCTTATAAGGGCACTAATCCCATTCATGAGGGGTCTACCCTCATGACCTAAGCACCTCCCAAAGGCCCCACCTTCAAATACCATCACATTGGGCATTAGGATTTCAACAAGTGAATTTTGAGATGACACAAACTTTCAGCCTGTATTACTAAGTGTATTAGTTATCTATTGATGGATAACAAATTTCATGAACCTGGTGACTTAAAACAACAAACATTTATTATCTCATAGTTTCTGAGGGTCAGGAGTCTGGACAAGGCTTAATTGAGTCATCTGCTTAGGCAAGGCAGCCATCAAGGTGTCTGCCAGGGCTGGGGTGTCATCAGAGGCTCAACTAGAGAAGGATCTTCTTCCCAGCTCCCACAGGTTCTTGAGAATTAATTTCCTGGGGCTGTAGGACTCATGGCAGCTTGCTTCTTCAAAGCCAGCAACGTGGAGAGACACTAGCAAGACAGGAGCTATACTCTCATATAACCCTGGACATCCCACCACCTTCACCCAATGCATTGACTACAAGCAAGCCACAGGTCCCACCACACTCAAGGGAGAGGATCACACGAAGACAGGAACACTGGATGCAGGAATCATGGGACCACGATAAGAACTGCCTAAAGTCAAGGTCATACGACCAGCAAGTAGTAGAGCTGGTTACAAATCTAAATCTTTCTGACCCCAAACCCTGCATTTGGATTCTAATATCAGCTATACCTCCGACTACCTGGGTTATCTTAGAGAAATCGTTTAACTTCACCAGTCCTAACCTCCTCACTGAAAAAAGAAGGAGCTGCATCCATCTGGCCTTCATAGTGGCTTTCAGTTTGGACCTGCTGTGATTCTGTAATCAGCAAATTTAGGGGGCAGGCGTGGTTGAGAGACCCCTCGCTCCATGCCTTACACTCAGGGAAGTGGGAGTGGTCCTCTCTCTGTGTCCTCACAGTAGGGACCCACCAGCCATTTTAACGTTACCTTTGGTCCTTTCCGCAGCATCATCTATGCCATTGTGATCCGAACTATATGGATTAAGAGCAAAGCTCATGAGACGGTGATTTCCAACTGCTCAGGTAAGCCTCCACTCTGCATTGCCCAACTCAACTCTTGGCTAATTTTGCTCCTGCAGAGGTTTTCCCCTAGAATATGAGCTTGGGCTTTCTGGATATAACAGCCTGCTCTGTTATATCAGGGCCCAGCTGGCAGATCAGACCCATCAAAGGCTGTCCTGGGCAGGCTCTGCCTTCTCCACGTGGCCTCCCTGAAAACTAGGAGAGGGAAGGGGGGACTTTGGGCCTAGTCAAGCTGTGCCAGCAGAGAGTCCCTCGAAGCAGCCTTTGACCCAGGATCCAAGTCTCTCAGGCCTGGCCACAAAGCACCCTGAAGGCTACTGGCATGAAAAGAGAGGACTGTCCGAGGAGAACACCACACATTCAGCAAAACACGGGGGCAGACATTCTATTGGACTTGAACTTACAGATGGAGAAAACTGCCATCTATCCACAGAACAATGCTGGACCCTGAGCCAGTCAAGGCACGATCCATGCTTTCCCCAATGTCCCAACACACCAACTCACACCAGACCAAGCCTGAGATCGCTGCTATAACCCATCCCCAAATTCTACTTCTGTAAACCTGCATACAGAGCACCTCCTATACGGCAGACTCTGAGACTTGGAGGCCTACCCTGCTTCCCAGACAAACACTGCTGGACCGAACTGAGGTCAACCTCAACAGAACACAGCAAACCATGTGCCAGAAAGAGAGGAGAAAGGGCTCCTGATTTTCTATTCATTATAATGTGACTAGTTCTGTAGAAGGGCTCTAGCTCTGCTCAGGTTCCATGCCTCCTCCCATTCCTTGTACAAACACGCACACAACATAGGCCCACATGCACAAATGCACACATTCACACACCCAGTCTCACACACACGCCCACTGACACCCTCATATGCACACCCGTATATATACTCATCCACACGCACTCACACAAGGGCAGCAAGATATAACACAGGTACCTGGAATAAGAAGAGCTGGTTTCTGTTCCAGACGTGCCACTACATGCTGTGTCACATGGCAAAGTCATTTAACCTCTCTGGTTAAAAGGTTAAAAGTGGTTAAAGTGGGTGGACAGACTAGAGTTTCTCTAAGTCCTCCTATTTTCAGACTTTGAGCTGATACCTTTGCTGGACCAAGATGGAGCTCATTTTCCTCCTTCTTGAAGCTACTTCTTCCAGCGTGACTGTGAGAAAGTCAAGAGGACTCGCAAGTATTATTGGGCATTGATAACCTGTGTCCCTTTCACTACAGAATAAGTAAAGATGTATGAGTCTTGGTTTCTTCATCTGAATTCACTGCAATTCTGCTGTGTTCCATCACATCTCAGGAGTGGTACAAAGGACCGGGAATGCCAAGGAAAGAAATAGCCTGGGTTCTGACTAGGAAGCGTACAGTCTCGTGCATTGAGTCTGAGCCCCAGCTGCACAATAGCATTGTCTGGGGAGCTTTCCAAATGCACAAATACCCAGACACCACTGCCTGAGAGGTTCTGATTCACTCAGTGTGGAGTGTGGTCTGGGCGTCATTACTTTGGAAAAGCTCTTCAGATGATTTTAATGTGCAACCAAGTTTGACAACCCCTAGTCTAGTAGGAGACTCAGTCATAGGCAGCTGACTTCCACACTGAGGGATGAGAGTAGCCCACAGGTCTGCCCAGGGTGCTTAGAAATTTCCCACCTGTGACGAGCCTATCACTCAACATGTGACTCACTCTGGCCTACACACAGATCCTTATGCCTCCTTCATGCTCGTCTAGTCTCTGCACCCTGGTTTTTTCTAGAAGAGCAAGAGCAATCAGAAAGGATAAACACAAATGCATTCATTTTATTCATTGTGAGTGGCTCTGGTCAAAGTCAGAATATTTGTCTGGAAAAAAAAAAAGATGGATGAGAGCTTCCTTCCTCTATCAGATATCAAATAAATACATTAAATACTATAATTGTTGAATAGGGTATCCCTATCACAATTACATGAACAGGGGAAGAGAACAGAAACTCTAAAGGAAACCTCAGGAATTTAGGGTATGATGAAGTATTTCAAATTGATAGGGAAATGGAGATAGTTCAATAATTAGTGTTGAGACAGCTGCTCAACTATTTAGAAATAAATTGTTAAATTCCTACCTCATATGCTATATGGAGATAAACTCCTGATTAAAGATTTAAATGAAAGAGAGGAGGAAAGGAGAGAAAATATAAGAATCATTTATAATCAGAAAAAATTGAAAAATGTCTAAATAACCTACAATGAGGGATTGACTATAATAATTATATAGCCATATAATGAAATACTACAGCTGTAAGAATTATTGTGCAGTATACTTACTGCAATAGAAAGATGTCTACGAGGTATTAGATTAAGAAGGAGAAAGCAGTATGATATCACTTTTATAAATATGTGAATATGTAATATACGTTAGAATATATATGTGATAGCTGGATGGATGGATGAATAGATAGGTAGGTAGGTAGGTAGGTAGGTAGGTAGATAGATAGATAGATAGATAGATGGAAAGAAAATGTCTAAAAGGACAAATACTAAATGTTATAGTGATTATCTCTGACTAGTAGAGTTTTAGTTGATTTTTCTTTTCTTTTCTTTTTCCCCTTATCTGGGTGTTAAACTTTTCTACAATTACATAAATTGTATAATATAATATAATAGCCCAGTGGTCCTTTAGCCTGGGTAAACAGCCATTATTATGCTAGCTGTATATATGAGATATTCATTTTTTTTAAATCATCAACTCAGCCCCCACAAAAAAGTACACTTTCCATGCACTTCTCTATGTAAACTTCATGCTTTGACCCCGAGAGACCCAAGGCTGAGACTCAATATATATACATATATTTCCTGAACCTATGAATCCCTAAACTTTCAAAACTTACATGCTCAGTGAATGGGTAATGACCAAGATCAGATAGATCCTGATATATAGGTAGGATCTAGACGCCACAGCAATGAGGAAGCACCCAGAGGCTGATATGAGATACAAAAAGTGCCTCTGTCTGCCCCCAAATATCTCCCTGCTGAGCCTTCCATGAGGCCTGAAATTCACACCAATGGAGTCTGTCCCTTTTCATCAAGGTACTATCTCTGGGAGAGCCCAGGAGAAATACATTTGTGGCCCAGACTGAGGAATGTGCACTATACAAGCATATATTGATCACATTGTCTCTTAACAGAGTGCATGACCCTGGTTTGATAGTGGACAGATCAAGTGTGGTGGGACCAGAGGGTTTTGGAAGTTCTAGAGCTTTGGGTTCAAGGACGGCCAAAGGGAAAAGGGGAGTGTCTTATTCTGTTCAGGCTGCCACAACAAAGTACCATAGACTGAATGGCTTAAACAACAGAAATTTATTTTATCACAATTCTAGAGGCTGGGAAGTCCAAAATCAAGGTGCTGGTCAATTCTGTTCCAAATGAGATCTCTCTTCCTGGTTTGCAGATGGCTGCCACCCCCTTCTTGCTGTGTCTTCATATGGCAGAGAGAGGGGGAGAGAGAGAGAAAGCTCTCTGGTATCTCTTCTTATAAGGGAACTAATCCCATCATAAGGCCCCCACTCTCATGACCTCATCTAACTCTAATTACCTCCCAAAGGCCCCATCTCCAAATACCATCACTTTGGGGGTTAGGGCTTTAACATACGAATTTTGGGAGGACGCAAAAATTCAGTCCATAACAGTAGGAGAATCAGAAAAAAAAGACACTGTGGAAACAAACAAAGACCAACCAAATTAGAATAGACAAAGGCTGTTTATTCAGAGCTAGCTACAGTAAGGGAGTCAGCCCCCATCACTTGCATTTTGGCAGACTCAAAAGCAGGCAGGGGAGCGGAAAGGTTTATAGTGGAAGCAGGGGAAGGCTGCAAGTGTGCCCTGGTTGGTGGCTGTTGGCATGAGAAGCTATGGGTGGGCTAACCAGAAGCACAGCATCCCATGTGATTGGTTAGGGGTGCATAGTTGGCTTTCTCTTGTTGGTTTTAAGTTGAAAGCAGGGATAAAAATTAAAGAATCTGTCAGTTATTAATCAAGTCTTGAGCACTTGAGGTAGATTGTTACAGGGGCTACAGGACTGTGATAAAGATAGAGGTCTGACTTCCTGCAAGTCTGACTTGTACACAGTAGGTTGGCTTCCTGGTCTGGTTATTGACAACAGGTTGGGTTCCTGGATTGGTTGCTGCAGCGCGTGGGTCAGAGTTCTATTTTCATATATGGTTTGGCCATCGTCCATTCGTTTCTTCAGTCTGTCAACGAGGACTGACAAGACAGAGGGACAGACAGAGCATCTACCGTCAACCACTTCACTAGGTCCTTTCCATACTTTATCTCCTTGAATCCTTACACAACCCTGCAAGGTGCTATTATCATCTATCTTTTACAAATTGAAGACAGGCTCGAAGGTTAAGCAATTTGCCTGTTTTTATAGATGGCACATGACACAGCCAGGATTCAAAGGCACATATGATTGACCAGAAAGCCTATGATTGCTTCCCTGCATCAGGCTGCCTCTCAGAAGGATGGACATTACAGAAAGGGAGGTGGTGAATGACTGAAAAAAGAGCTCAAAGTGAAAAAAAATTTTTAGTTAAAAAATCCAAACTTGGGATTTGGGGCATGGCTTCTTTTCCACCACACTCCCTCTAGAGTTCTGCCTTCACAGCACTATTCCAGTCTTATCTCCTGAAGTGTTTTGTTTTAATGTATTTAAAATCTTAAAGGTGACCACTACTGATAGAGGCAGGGCCCAATTTTGTTCAGGTAGGCTGAGGTCTTCCTGTACTTTCACATTTAAATCAGATTGGTTTAAACTCCTGTCCTGTGATTTTTGCCAGTTCCAGGAGGCTGGTGTGTCCCTCCCTGCCCGTTCCTCTGAGCTCTCACCCTCGCAGTCTCACCTCCTACAGCTATTCTGTTCTCTCTGCTCCTGGCCCAATGAACCATGGAATCCACCTCACTTTCCTTGAGTTCACTACTCACAAGAAAGAATAGAGCAAATGGTGCTGGAGGTTTG